TCATTTTATTTGTTTACTTGTTTTTCTATTTCCCTGACTAAAATATAAATTCCTTGAGAATAGGAACATTCTTGTTCTTACTCACCATTGTATCCCTAAGCCTGGTATGTGCAGTCTTTTCTCAGTAAATATCTGTTAAATGAATAAACCATAAAATCTCCCTTGTTCCTCTTTTTTTCCACCTCCATGTATCATGCTTAGCTTTCTATGTGTCTTTATTTTACCTGTTAGGTTGTGAGGTACTTGAGGGAACAATTTTTTAAAAATTCATTCTTACATCTCTGGGGCTTACACATGATGGATTGCAGAAAATAAGTGTCACATGTGTGCCATGACAGGTATACTCCAAAATGCAGCTCATTCACTGCATAATTTGTGCTTTGGAAACTCCTCCCATTGCTAGAAGACTGAGACCCAGTCTTTATACTCCCTTTATGTTCCTTTTGTTCCACTTCAGAAACCAGACACAGGAAACATCTGACCATAATAAAACATTTCCAGTAAATTCTAGGTTTCCTCAATGAACAAAGTCACGTGCAGCAAGGCTCTGTTGTACCTTGGTCTGGAATTCTGTTTGGTCACTTGTATGGCATGCCACATGGCTGCCTCTGGCCAGGGAACCAGGAACAGTTGAAGCCTGGGATGATTAGAGTGCAAATGACATATTTGTTAGCCTGAGAGGGAGAAGTCTGGATATTCTTGCTCTGTTTCTTGCAAAACAAACTTCTAAATTTGTTGGATACTAAGTTTTCCCGTTAGCTGTCAAAGTGGTTTATAACTAAAATAATCTTACATCCTTTAGAATAAACCACAAATAACAAATGGCCACACTGTTTCTGAAATCAAAGCAAATTTCATCAAAACAAAATTCATCAAAACTTCATTGCTCAAAGCAAAATTTATACAAAATTACACAAAACATGAATATGTCATTAACTTCCTCCCACCCTCTCACTTACATCTTCTGAAGTTCAAAGATGTGTGCTCTTAGGAACATTCCACTACCATGGTACATAATATTTGTAAAGACCAAGAAAACAGTCTATTTCTTTCTAATAGACCATTACCTGTTTGAAACTTATGCTTGCATACCCCTATCACACTTTATATTTATCTCAAGTGTCTATTAACTGGTTCATTTTCCTTGACTTGAAAGCAGAGACTATCTCTTACTTGGCTCCCTATCTCTAGTATCTGGCACAAGGCCTGGTACATAATAGCCACTTGATAATATGTGTGGGAAGGAGGGAAGGAGAAAAGAAGGGAGAAAAAAAGCCCAGTCCATGAAGAGACTGATATAGTTCAGGTATATTTAAACATCCTGAAATATAAGGATGACCTTAGCAACTAAAGAGAAAAGCCTAACAGCTTTTCAGCATGTATGGTGAAAAATAAAGACAATTAAGAACTTTCCATCCTTTGGCATTGGAACCAGAGCAGTAGAGGTTAAAATACTGAGCCGAATTAGAAAGATTTTTTTTTAACATTTTTTTCCTCATGATACAAGTCATGCATGTTTACTGTATAAATTTGCAAAAATACAGAGAATAAGCATTATCTATAATTCTACCACCCGGAGACAACCACTGTTAACATTTAGTCTTTTTTTAGTCTTGGTTAAGTTTTAGTCTTTTAGTTAACTTAAGCCTGTTTTGTTTACATTTTGATTGAAAAGTTTAACAGAGATTATATTAGAACTGCTTGTGAGCACAAAGAAGGCGAATTGCTATTGAAAAAATACTTGTCACTGCAATAAAAATTTGAGATTCTTTTTTAAATTGTTGCTCACTGGGGCAGTCAACTCCTCAGAATTCCATTCTCCATCCTCTTCAGGGGAGTGTGATCTCTCACCAAGAAAGCTCTCAGAATGCTTTTTCTTAGTCCTCCTGTGCTGAGACTCTTGGTATAAGCTTGTTTGTCTTCCAATGATGAGGCAAGGCTTGAACCCTGTCACAGGACAAATACAGTTCAGGACTGACTTGTACTGAATGAGAGTCAACACCCAGAATGGATTTTCTTCCCCAACTTGTGAAATATCATTCAGATAACATCACCTTTGAAAGAAATCAAGGATATTTACTAGTTATTTCTTAGTTTAATAAATATATTGCCCACTTTCTATGTGTCAGTAACTGAGCTAGGCATCAAAGCCTCAAAATGAATAGACAGTCTTTGTCCTCAGGGGACTTTCATTTAATGAGAGAAAAAGGAAAGTAAACAAAGATTAAGATGCAGTATAATAAATGCCGTACTAGAGGTACAATGATGGCATAAAGAGGAGTGAGCACAATTGATGAGTGAAGACATCAAGAAGAGGGGATGATGGAACTGGTCTTAAGGGAAAAGCAGGAGGCACATATCTCTTCGGGGGAAGAATAGTAGCTTTGGCACACCTGAACAAGAAATATACTAGAGGTGGTAAATGAGGCAAAACGGTGAAGAACTTGAATGTCAGAGCTTGGACTTTATCTTGCAGGCCTTGGAAGCTACTGAAGGGTTTTAATCAAGAGCAGAAACACAGTCTGGTATATTTTTTGAAGAAACCAGTGGAAAGAATGGATGGAAACGGGCTAAGTTGGAGGCAGGGTTGTGGTGGTGGTAGGGGGGCTATCAGAACAGTCCCAGCAAAAGATGATAGGCAGATGTCTATAGAGACAGAAGGTAACTTGGTGGTGGCCTGGGACTGGAGGTGGAAGTGACTGAATGAGCATAAGAGATCTTTTGGGGTTATGGGAATGTTCTAAAATTGGATTACGTTGATGGTTGCAGGTTCTGTAAATTTTCTAAAAGTTATTGAAATGTATCTGTAAATTGAGTGAATTTTGTGATATGTAAATTATAGTTCAGGAAAACTCTTTATGAAAGAGGGATTTGGGGAAGGCAAGCTTCTCCTCGTTGAGAGGAGACAGATGTGAGAAATGTTGATGAAGAACTAGAATTTATAAGAGCTAGACGTTGATTGTGTGAGATAGGATGGTCATTCATCTGTTTAACCAGGTGTCCTAATTGTGATACTACATTTTTGTAAAAAAGTGGCACCCTTACTATTTTCTTGGTAGATTTCAAAGCATATGGATCTGCCGTTTACTGGCAGCACAGACTATCTGCCTTGGAAACTACATCCTTCAGCTTTTCTGCTACCCAGTTCTTAGTAAACATATGTTTATGAGAGAAAAAATATATATTTATGGAGGATTGCCTAGATTCATTTCCCTGTGCATTGTTATATAGCAAATAGTTACTGAGTACCAGGTGTTATGCTGGCAATGCAGTGGTGAATAAGGCAGATCTGGTGACTACTTTTGTGGAGCTTACAGTCCAGCAGTGGGACCAGCTGTTATTTACAGTCATGATGACTCCTGTGTTGAATTTCCATGTGCAGTGAGAGAAAATGCCATACAAACTGAGATCTGAAGGATAATGCTGGGGTGGGGTGGGGTGTGGTTGTAGACACTGGTCCTACGCACATCCAGTTGGCACTCTTTGTAGCAAATGAGCCTTTTGAATCTGATCCCTTTTGAGTCTGAGTCTCTTGAGTTATCTTGGGACTTACATCATCTTGGTGTCCCTTATAATTGTTTTTATTAGACTGTGCATTGGATTTATGCCATCATTTGGCACGGGCTCATATTATAAGAAGCAGCCAAGCAAGATTTACAACTACTTATTACAGAAATTTTGTAAAATATGCAATCTTCAACATCTTACAGCATCTTCTTTTTTAAGGTCCACAAGAGAGAGTTCTCTCTGGCCATTGTACAATATTTACTTCCATGTTTTGGTCTTTTAGTTGCTCTAAAGCACTTGACTCTGTCTTGCTTCAGGTCTCCACATGTGGCCTTCTCTCTTCCTGGAATGCCCCATTCCATTCTTGTTGGGTTTGATGGCTCTCTTATCATTCAGCTGTGAGTTCAAACACCACTCCTTCAGGGCAGCCTTCCCTGTCCATCACCCATTCTACTTCCGTAGTCAGTCTGTTTCCTCATGTAGGCTTTCCTAGAACTCTCTTTTTTTCTTTTTTCTTTTTGTCAGTTTTCAGTTAAATTGTTCTTTGGTAACATTTTTCTTTCCTACGCTGATAGTGGAGAGATCTGTAAAGGTAGAGACCATACCTTTTCTGTTTGCTGCTGTCTTTCATAGTCACAGTAGATGATCAATAAATATTTACTGAACATTTGAATGAATGAAAGAATGAATACATTGTGGGTACTTGTAACTGTTCATGTCCTTTTTTCTTTGGCTGTTTGGAAGTTCAGGCCCTCCTCGATTCTACCCGCAGTTTCTTTGTAGGTCCTCATGGCATGCATTTTGTGCACTAACATTTCCTCTACTATATAATATTTTTCCTTTCTTTGATTTCTTCATTTTTAAAATTCTAGTGTATACTGTAAATTCCTATAGGCTACTTTAAGTCTTTTCTGGGAAAAAAATAATAAACAATTGAGTATGTGAGTAGAAGAAAGAGAGAGGTCAAGGGGGAAATGTTAGTGCCTTTAACTAGATACAGAAGGGAAGTTTCATTTTGCTTGGTTTTAATTTTTTTAACTTTTAATTTTTTTATTTTAAAGATGTGGGGTCCAATTCTGGGTTATGTGTACAAATGTTCGTTATGCAGTTAAGATTGTTGATGAGGTGGGGCCCCCCTTCCCCAGGCAAATTCCCACTACTACCAATCCCGCTTTGTTTCATTTTATTTTCGCTAGAAGAAGGAAAAAGGAGTAAATTTGTCTGCTAATTTGTAGGTAATGCCTCTGAAGAATTTGGACCCGTCCCTGCCCTGAGACATCTCTCCCAGTGGCAGGAGGCAAGGGGTGCTGGGCTCAGCAGGGCTTCCTGGACCAGTGGATGTGGGAAGGGGTAAAGAGCTATGGAGGTTGTCTGTGTAGCTGAGTTCCCTTCCAGTCAACTCTCCCCTGGGGGAGGTTTGGGCAGAGCCAGTGGGAGCTTGTGATTTTACTATGCAAAGGAGAAAGAAATGAACTTGTCCTCTTGTGTTACAGATTCAGTGGTTCTTTCCTTTGACTCCGCTGGACAAACACTAGGCTCAGGTACCAACTCTTCCCCCTCTATCTTTTCAGCCTTCAATACTGGCACACTTTTAGTGGGACCTAATCAGGTAGGGGTTTGTGAGGGGGGGTGGGGAGGGCAATGGACTATTTCAGAATTGTGGGAAAGTCTCAAGAAAACTTCCAGAAATTGGTGATCTAGGAATATAACATCTAGAAGCCTTTCCAGTTGACTTTCAAAGTGTGCACTGAGGAGTTGTGTCTACTGCTGCTTCCTTATTCGGAGTTGGCAAGGTTCATAGAAAAAGATATCTGTTTTTTGTGCACATATCCTATCTCAACGAGTAGGGCAGAGGGCACTGAGAGACCTCAAGGGGAATGCTGGAATAGATAATCATCAGGGCTCTCCAAAAGAATGCCAGGCTGATGATAGCACCCCAATTTCCTGAACGTATACTCTGCTGCATGTACGTGCCCCCTATGCTCATATACAGACCTCTTCCAAGCAAGGAGTGCTCTATATACTGTGCACTCATGTCAGAATGCATGTAGGCAGACACACCACCCCCTCTCCTTGTGTTTACAATGCAGGACACACAAACTAGCACACCTTCCCCTTTGACTCAGATTCACCCAGGCCCAGTGGAACTTGGCTCTCCATATCTGAGGCAGTTCACCTGTTCCATACCACTGTAGCTGTTGGCAGTGACTGGAAAGAGAGATGACTTTGACCCTTCAACTTGCTGCCATTGGGTCCCTATGGGAGACCCAGAGTGACTTTACTTTGAGGAAGAGCATCTCTGTGCATTAGTCCTATGTTTTTAGGTGAAGTCAGGTGGACCTCGTACTGTGAGTGCTACCTTTGAATATCAGGGAGACTTTGCTCGCCTATTGAGGACAGCTAATCCATTTTGCTCCTTAAATACAATAGGTCGATAGATTGATATTTCATAAAACAGCCATGAGGTTCAGGCAGTTGTGGTGGAGTAGACAAAAGGAAAGATGTTTAGAGACTATGGTCACAGCTACCACTATTACTGTGAGTCTACTATGTGCCAACTCTGTGCTGAGGACTTTATACACCTCTTGGTTATCCCTTACAGTAGCCTCAATGTCTTTAGTTATAGATAAAGAAGCTAATGCTCAAAGATTTTAAGTAACTCATTTGGAGCCTATCATCTCTGTCTGACTCTAGAGCCATACTGTGTCCCTTAGCATGTTGCTGTCTCATACCTTGTAAGCTTGAGTTGTCTTCCACCAAAATGCTGAGGTAGGAGGAGTCACTTTGGGGTTGGGTGGACAGATAAAAAGAGTTTGGAAATAGACCCCAAAATTGTGTCTATTCATATAGGAAAGGTTGATCTGTTTGATTACATTAAAGTTAAGAACTATTAATCAAAAGATTCCATTAAGAGAGGGAAAAGGCAATCCAGAGTGAAAAAAGATAGTTATGACACACAAAAAACAAAGGTCTTATTTCCAGGAAAAATAACTAAAGAAAGTAATGGGAATAAAGAAACAACTTAGTATGGAAATGAGCATAAGGCTTGAACAGAAATTTCACAAAAGGGGAAATCCAAATGGCCAATAAACCTATGAAAATATGTTTGATTGTGTTAGTATTCAGAGAAATGCAAATTAAAATCACAGTGAGATAGCTACCAAACAGCAAAATTTGAAAAGCTTGACAATCCCAGGGTTGATAAGGGTGTGATGTAGTAGAAACTCTGAATCTCTACTGGTTGGAGGGTAAATTGGTACAATCACTTTGGAAAAAAACCAAGGCAATATCTATTTAAATTTGAATACACACATACTCCATGACCTGACAATTTCTCCTCTAGGTATACCCTTCAAAAATGGATACTGATATATACCAGGACATATGTGTTAGACACATATATAAGAATGTTCATAAAAGCCTTGTTCATAATTGTCAGAAATCAAAAATAATCCAAATACCTAAAAACAGTAGAAAGAATATGCAAGCTGTGTTATATTCATGTGAAACAATAAAAATGAGCGGGCCACAGATAGATGCAACAGCATGGATGAAGCTTAAAGACATATTCTTGGGTGAAAGAAGTCAGCAAAAACAGTGTATACTGTTTTTTTTCCTTTTATAAAGTTCAAAAGCAAATGGAATAAAACCATATTTGCTTAGATGTATGATTCAGTATTAAAATAATAAAGAAAAGCAGAGGATTGAATTCTATAACAGCTGGGATGGTGGTGTTCAAGGGGGTATGTTAAAGGATGGACCCGTCCCTTGAGTTCAAGACATGGGACATTTCTTCACTGGACAGCTTCTAGAGTGTTGCTATGTTGTTTTTAGTGACGTGAGCAGGGTTACATGGGTGTCTATTTTATAGTAACTCATTAGCTGTGCATGTAAATTTTATGTACTTTCTATATATGTACTGTAATTCACATTTTTTTTAAATACAAAGAGCATGACCTGTGTTGTCAGGCATGGAACAGTTGTAGGAACAGAAGGGTCAGGAAGTAGCACTATAGGTCAGACTTGCCTGGATAGAGAAGAAGGAGGAAACAGTTAATATCTATGGAGCATTTAGTATGTGTCAACTACTACTGATGCTTTGCATCAGTCCTAAAATGGAATGTGTTAGCCAGAATTCTAAACACTTTCATGTGAACTAACTTGCTTAAATCTCACAGCCACCCTTTGAAATAGGAAACTAATGTATAGAGAAGGGAAGTAAACTTGTCCAACGTCAAATAGCAAGCAAATGGCAGAACCAGGATTTGAATTTAGACATTCTGGTTCCAGAGCCCATATTCTTTTTATTTATTTATTTGTTGATTTTATTTTATTTTGAGTTGGAGTCTCATTCCATCTCCCAAGCTGGAGTGCAGTGGCACACTCACAGCTACCCCAGCATTAAATTTCTGGGCTCTGGCGATCCTTCCGCCTCAGTCTTCCAAGTAGCCAGAACTACAGGTGTTCACTACCATGCCTGGCTAATTTATTTATTTATTTATTGTAGAGACGAGGTCTTGTCAAGTTGCCTGGGCTGGTCTCAAACCCGCAGGCTCAGGCAACCCACTTGCCTCGTCCTCCCAAAGTGCTGGGATTGTAGGCTGAGCCACCAAGCCCAGCTGTTTGTTTATTTTTTTAAAAATTGACTTTCACTGTGTTGCCTAGGCTAGACTCGAACTTCTTGGCTCAAGCAGTCCCTCTGCCTCAACCTCATAGTCCATATTCTTAACCAAGTAGTTCTTGCTTTCTCTGTTCTTATTAATTTCCAAGATGAGTTTGATCCTAGGCTTCCATCTTCCTTGGAGATATAAAAAAATCTTGAGCTTAATCTGTAAATAACTAAGGACCATAGGAAAAGGCTTCCAGGTTTGTATATGGTTCCCAGTGAAACCTGCAAAGAATGAGAATTGAGATATTTTTCTGCTAATTCCCTCTTCATGGAAGATAGATAAAATTGATCCAAAATCAGCTTTAAGTTAGGACCAATTCTCAGTTTGCCTAGCAGACAACATGTACTGTTTCCATACTTAGTTCTACCATATTTGTGCTCTCACGGAAGATTTATTTGTAAGAGGCCAACAGTTTTGCTGTCTCATGCTTTGTATCAGTCCTAAAAGGGAATGTTAGCAGGAAAAAGCTGGGCAGAGGTCTTCACAGTAGCCACTTTATTAATTTATTTGGAAAGAATTTGCATAGCATTGGGCATGCTACATTGCCAAAAAAATTTTAGAACCTTAGCAAGATCACTTTGGAATTAATCCCTATTTGACTTTCTTTCTGCTAGTATGGATAATTACAAGTAGGAAACAAGGTTCCAGTTCCAGATGAGATGGAGTGATCACACTCACCATGTCTCTATCACTGAATACAACTAAAGACCCAGACAGCATGCATTTGGCAGTTGTTTGGCAACTCTGAAACATAAATAATAGCAGACCAATTGGGGAAGAATACCGAATTCACTATATTACCAAACTGGCAGTGAATTTCCCATTTTTCCTTCAGTGTCCCATATCTTAGACTCAAGACACCTCAAAACCTAGCAGTAGACACAAGGGCACAAACAGAAAGCTCCAGGAAAAGACCTCTAGTTGTGGCTCTGGGTGGGAAGAGGGCTCCAAACGTTCAGACAGTTGGAAAATCCCGGGAGTTGTTTCTTCTTTTCTCTGTTCTCTCAGCACCCCCACCCCCCGCCCCTGGCAGTCCCACAGTGGTGGTGGTGGTAGGGACAGTGGCATCAGCAGGATCTTCAGTCACCTAAAACCGAGGGCAAGGAAACTTCTCTGATCATAAGAGTTCTAGTCCCAAGAGGGATGGGATGCAATTTTCGTTGCTTATTTTCTCTCTCTGCCTTCCCGCTGCCAAATGCCAGATTTAGGCACAGTTCTGGAAATTCATGTCAGAACGTGGTAACTAAAGTCCTAGCTTTCTGACAAGAGGATGAAAAGGGGAGGCCCAAGGAACCAGAGCACAGAGGAGAAAACAGAGAGAGAGGAGGAGCTCAAGAAAGCAACCCTATCAAGTTATTTATGAACTAGGATAACCCAAGTTGTGCATGCATGCATTTGATTCTCAATTAACATACCAAAGGCTTTTAGAAAAAAAAAAATCAACATTCTCTACTGGATTTAAACAAGACCTCGAGTCTTATAACCTAATATTTGAAATATCGAATATACTAGCCAAAATGAAGGACCAGGAAAATTCCATCTCGCATGAGAAAAGGTAATCAGTCGATGCTGTGCTGAGATGACACAGATGTTTGAATAATCTGCTGAAGATTTTAAAGTAACTATTATAAAAAATGATCCCAAATAAAGGCAAACTCTGTCAAATGAATGGAAAGATAGAAAATCTAAGCAAAAAAATGAAAAAATATATATGAATATATATATACTTATATAAACCAAATGAAGATATAAGAACAGAAAAAATACAATAACTGAAGTTTTAAAAACCACAAAATAGGCTGGGTGTGGTGTCTCACACCTGTAATCTCAGTACTTTGGAAGGCCAAGGTGGATAGATCACTTGAGCCCAA